GGGCTTTGGGTAAAGGTGACCCTAATGCTGTGGGGGATGGGGGGACTTCAGGTATAGGAGACCCTAACGTCCTGGGGGAGGGGTTGGAAAGGTTGATACGTTGGTTACAGTAGCCGTTCATCTTGAGGGTGGACTTGATGTGGTGGAGTTCTTGGTGTAGGTTGTTCTGGTCGCAGATCTCGTAGGTTCTGCGGACGAGGGTGCGGTTGACTGAGGTCTTGATGCCTGGGTGGTGGAAAGATCTCCGGTGCAGGTATCAATCAGTATGGGTTGGCTTGCGGTAGACATGGTGGGTGAGGGCACCGTCTGGGTTTCTGGACAGGTGAACATCTAAGAAGGAGAGGTGTCCATCTTGTTCTTGTTCCATGGTGAACTTGATAGTGGAGTGTTGCTTGTTGAGGTACTCGAGAAATTCTTGGAGGTGAAGACGAATGACGAATGTGTCATCGACATAGTGCAGCCAAATGGTGGGTTCGAGGTCGGCAGTGAGGAAAGATGATGTTTGAAATTCTTGCATGCAGATGTAAGCTAGGACTGGGGATACAGGGGTTCCCATGGAGGTCCCAGCTGTCTGCTCATAGAACTGGTCTTGGAACTTGAAGTAGCTGGAAGAAACGCAGGGCGGATGAGGTCGGCGATCTGGGCAGAGGAGAGAGAGCTGTGCAGCCAGTGATGGAGGGGTTGCTGTCAAGTCAATCCTTGGCAATCTGGCATGCTTCTTTGGTGGGAACATTGGTGAATAGCGACACCACTTTGAAGCTCACCATGATGTCTGTTGGCTGGTGTGACAGGTTTCTTGTAAGCTTTGCGAACTGGGTGGAGTTGGAGATATGGTGTGGTGTGTTGCCAACCAGGGGCTGGAGGATGCCGGTCAGGAAGCAGGCAGTCTCGTACGTCGGTGAGCCCCTTGAAGACAAAATGGGGTGCAGGGGGATGTCCAGCTTGTGGATCTTGGGTTGACCAAAGAATCTTGGACGGGTAGACGCCACCGGGCGGAGGCGACGGTACAGGTCTGCTGGGATGGAGTCGGAGTGGTGGAGGTCGAGGAGGTGGCTGGTAATGCATTTCTCAATGGCTCCAGTCTGGTGAGGTTGGGCTTGACTGGTTTGGAGTGTGGGAGTGCTTGGTGTATCTTGACTTGGATGTTATCGGCTGTGGTTTTGTCCAGCTTCTGTATGGCAGGTTCAATGGCTTGGATGATGTCGGCTAGGGGGACGGCGCGGTGGGGTGACAAAGTTCATACCTAGGGACAGAACATCTGTCTCAGTGGTCAACAGGGTACGTTGGCTTAGGTTCACGACGGTGTGTCTTTGGAATTCACTCTGGCTGCAGAGGTGGGCTGGGAGGGACGCAGGTGGTGTTTGCTGTCGGGTTGCATTTGTCCCGAGCCCAAGGGATCTTCTATATTCCGACGGCAAACACCACCCATGTCCCTCCCAACCCACCTCTGTAGCCACCCAGCAGTAGCCCCGGTGTATATCGCATTCCATGTGAATGCGGCCAAGTATTACATCAGGGAAACCGGAAGGAACCTCCCAACCAGACTTCAAGAGCACCGCTCACATGGCCGACGAGGAGAGTACGTCAAGTCAGCCATCATCAAACATGCACACTCCACGGACCACCGCATCGAATGGGACAAGGTAGAACTCATCGCCCCCATCAAGAGCTGGCTCCTGAGGAGAATCCAAGAAGCCATCAAGATTTTCCGGCACAACACTGTACCCCAAGACAAGCTCAGCGACATCTGGCGCCCACTACTAGCACCCAAGTAGACACCCACTCCCGGGCAGTAGGGTCCTCTATACTCGAACCCAAGGTTTCCTGCCAATTCCAGGATCCAACACCTTTACGCAACTACGCACACGCTGAGTCACACAACCCACAAATCCAGTTTGCTCCACCCCTTCCCGATTACCTTTATAACCAGCTATCCACTCCAGTCTGACACACTCTCTTGAGGACGGCTAGAGCACACTGGCTGAAACGTTGAGTTAACACTCACTGGTTCTTTTAAGAACCACACCTCGCCCAAAAGAGATTAATTCCATGGTTTACCTGCAAACCCATTTCTTTTGTCTCTTTCACCATGGAGAGCTTCAAATCTTACTTACACTTGGTTATGAAAAAGGCCTATTCCCCCCACCCAATAGCATTTATATCCATAGTGAATTACTGAATTTGGATACTACTTGTTTTTTATGCCACGTCAGATAATTTATTTGAAGTTTGGGCTGTTGATCACAGATGATGTGTTTTACTCCATTCTTCTGTTAGACTCTTCGGGCAGTTGTCCTTCAGCTTACTTCAAGTGCAACAATGGTGTGTGCATCTCCAAGGAGCGGCAGTGTGACGGTGTCAATAACTGCCAGCAAGGTGGTGATGAGGATCCACATGCCTGCCAGGACCAAGGTAGGTAGAAACAGATTATCACAGTGGTCCGAGTCAGTTTCAGATGGAACATATTGAACAGTAGCCAACAAAGTTTGAGTTCAATTTATATTTTTGGAGCCACTCGCTATGTGGATCCCTGTTAAGCTTGACATGTATAATTTGACATGACATGACATGAAATATAATTGAAATTAATTTCAAACTATTTTTGTATGTTTGGCAGGTAACTTGCAGTACTTATCCATTCTTGGAAATTAAAGAATGACTTCTAAACTTAAAAATCACATACAAGATGTAACAGGGACAGGGACAGAAAAAAATTGGATCCCAAATTCATAGAAGGACCTGTATAGTTTTCTCTCACCACTTGCTTAGGATTATAGCCAGTTTTTCCAAATATACACCATTTTGATGACAGCGGTGACCATGGGTATAAGTGCCCTGGGGGATGGGAGTAATATATTCCCCCTCCACTTTTTAAGGCGGGGGTGGGGAAGGAGGGATGGGCTATTTAATCACCCCTTTCCCATACACTGTTTTTTGCTGAGTGAAATATTAAAGTAGATTGTGAACAACTTTTCAGACTTATCAATAACTAAAATGTATTCAGTATGCAACGCAAAAAAAGAAAAACAAGTTTTTAAAGCCTTAAATATGCCATTCTAATGTAAGATTCTTCATGAATGTAATACATATTACAGATGTACATCAATATCATGAACACCAACCTCTATATTGTCATACGGAGTCACCCCCTCCCCTTTTCAGATTTTCATGGCTGGGCAAGTCATCCTTTCCTCCTATCTCCCATCCCCCCCCCAGTTTCCGGCACAAATTTACGCCACTGGCGATGACCATCAGCTGCAATTTTGAAAATGTGATCAGAATCATGTTGGCATCTCTGGATGCCAACAAGAACCTGTGAATGGGCGGGGCATCTCTGGATGCCAACAAGAACCTGTGAATGGGCGGGGCATCTCTGGATGCCAACAAGAACCTGTGAATGGGCACTGTGTCGGCTGCAGACTGATCTGTCCTCATGTTTTTATGCAGGATTTAATTACCAGCATTTCAGAAGGTCAAGGATTTTGAACTTAATGGTAAATATTCAAAAATCAAAAAGGTGCAGACACCTTGACTGGCAAAGTTTCATTTTTTTTTTGAAAGAACATTTTCCACAGTAGGAATTGGTTTCAATGCTCTGGGAAAAGCTCAGTGCCATATCTGTAAAAGGTCCAAAATGTTTCACCCAATAAAAACCTGTTTGTTCTTAGCATACATTAAATTCAAACATGCATAACGTTTGGTCCTTCTTGAGGCTGTTTGACGTTCCATGAGTGAATTTGAATCAGTGAAGAAATTTCCCATGGCAGCAAACTGATAGGGCTTGAAGGGGCCCCATTTTAGATACCGTGAGTGAAATATTCCAGTTTCTCTTTACATTTGGTTAAAAACAACAGGCCTACAGTTTCTACAGTACAGCAAGGTGTGTGCTATAGACCTAGATCCCCCAAGGTTAAATAGTGCGAGTATAGTGATTGAGAATTATGAAAAAGGAAATTATCGTAAAACAATATGGGATTAAGTAGGTTTACCTTGCAATAGCAGTTTGAAATATGTGCATCTTATTGACAACATAGGCAGAGAGGAAACAGTGTGTAAGAAAACAAGAAATTTGTTGCTAAATTGATTTTCTGTGCCTACATAAGGGCATGCGCGTGATGTTGTGCACTTTTATTGGGGTTCTGCAGCACACATCTTGGTAGGTCACTGATCCAGAAAGTAAAATAAAACACGAGCTGTACATTTGAAAAAAGAGTGTATGAACTATGAATAGTACATCTCTTGAGAGCATGAGGTACAGTTCTAATATTGAGGCAAGGACTGTATGTGGATGGTACAGCTGCCTGTGTTAAGAAATGTCCAAGCTTCATAAGTACGTCTAGTCTCCCACAGGCACTGAAAAGGTTTCCATTAACAGGGACAATTTGCTTGGATGTTGGTGGGTTTTCAACCAGGGAAAATGACAGTACCGTGAACTGCTGCTTGTTTTATGATGGCAATTATGTCTGTCTTCATTTTCCCTCTTATCACTTTCTGTCACTGAAAAGGGATGAACAGGGAACCTAAATTACATTTCTTGTGGGGGTAGTCCCTCTGAATAATCTCATCAAACCAGTCATGCATTGTTTACACCAATTGAAAAAGTACAGAGCTGTACTGATTTGGAGGCTCATTTCTAGGTTTTGTACTTTTTTAGCTTTCAGCACACGTGGGACTCTCCCAGCACTTTGTCCATTTCCTGAGGGAACATTTTCACCTAGGATGCCATTAATGGAAGTAGTGCTAGTGGGCAGAATAGACATTGCCGGATTGTATTTTGTTTACTCACAGAACTTAACAGATATTGACCTACGGGAAGTCTTGAAGGGCCCATATATTCCATTTGTAGGGCATTTTGGCTTTCATATTTCAGTAGGCTAAACCTGCATGTTGATTAGCATAGTTGATTTAGCACATGACGGTATTTAGCTGAGCAAAGGTTTGGCACGAATTACTTCAGTTAAATCATTTAGGTACCAGTGGCATTTGAGCCATTGGTTGAATTTTTTGCCAAGCACTAAATGGGGAAAATTATAACTTGAATTCCAGTTTTGTGTGTACATGCAAACATTCGTGTGAATTTAGTAAGGGAATAAGTATGTGCTTGGCCAGTCTTAAACACACGTTTAAGACTGGCTCAGGAGAAAGGATGGGACTAATGTGGCTGGGGCATTATCAGCATTCAGTTTCCTGAGCCCGTCCGAAATGTCAGTTTAAGATTGTCCAAACACATATTTATTCCCATTCATAAATACCTTTTTAGTCAGAGTGTCAAAAGAAGTTAATATGTGATTTCCAACGATTTTTGTTCTAAATTTTTACTTTCATTTTTCCAATCACCCCCCATCTATTTTATGGTATATTCCTTGTGTAAGTTGTCCAATAGAATCTCCTTATGCACACAGACTCTTGACCAATCAGAATCGATTAAACTGTCTCGTATCCAGGTGCCAGCATATGATTATGCAGCAGGCATTATCCCTTCTCAAATGTTAATATATGGTCAAGTTGCAGTTGTTGAACAGAGAGATTTTCTGAGGTTACTATTCATGTTGACCTGGACATCACCAAATTTACTGTTGGTAGAAAATGAATACAAATTTTCCAGATTTCATATTTTCAAGTTGTTAATTGTATGAACATACTTTTGCTCAATACATCTGAGGGTTAATCATTTCCCTTGGACTCAAGAATTCACTCCTGATTCGTTCACATTGGGTTTTGTGAAAAGTTGAAAGGAAGCAAAAACATGTCTGTTGTCACCTACAATTTGTAAATGAAATCTCCATCCTTATATTACTATTCTTTTCTATTACTGGAGGCATATATCAATTCCATTCCTGTAGAGTCAGGTCTGTAATAAATGGATCCCAATTTATGTTCGCCCGGGAGATTGACAGGTTCTTGTGGTTAGCGTAAATCTCAATGGGAAAAAATCCAACAGTAACTACAAGATAGTTAGATATGCATAGTCCTTGGAGGGAAAATGCTGGTGGGATTATTGGGGACTCACATGAGAAAGAAATTGAAGTGTCAGTTTCTTCTGGTGAAAGTGATTACTGGTCAGTGTTTTTGACAGGATGAAGGGAAGCTGGGCAATATTGGAACAAGATTGAATTCTAAACAAACCTTAAGATGAGTTATCTTACCTGTTTGATGAGAGCTGTGTTAGACTTTGTCTCCGGATCTCTTGGGATGTCATTTGTTGATGTGGATATTGCAAGTGTAGAGCTTGTAAGGCTGCAGATGATTAAGCTTTGTAGGAGTGTGTTGACCAATGACATTGCAGTTAAATCAAAGCAACAGGTGAAAAGTGAGGTGTCTCCCATCCCAGATAAATGTATTAAAGATAACCGCTGAAGAAAATGTCTGAGAGTTTCCTCATTAAAAATAAAAAAAGTGGACTGAAAACCTCAACAGAAATAAGATACACCTGTACATCTGCATGTGTCCACCTTTACAGTTTAAAACCAGATCAATCTATGCAAGGTACATACCATGATACTAAAGCCAAAAGTCAAACTTCATCTGCAGTGCATATTGGACATGAAGATGTGAGGAGACCGTATACACACAGTGCATGATTCTGTATTTAGTACACCTACATTTACACCACCTGTTCAATATGCATTACTGTACAAGTTATTTTTCATGTGGATTTTTTTTTCTAATGGAAACACATGAATAATCCTGTCAGGTATCTCATGTCTTCTCATGACATCCCCATGTCCCACTCATCCTGGAATTCTTGGCAATGTTTAGCAGACAACTTATTGACTTTTGAGGATTGTTATCAGTAGACCCCAGGGTTTTCAATTTATAATTTCATTAAAATTGTTCATGAATAAGCTGTATGTGAAGTATGGTGTTTACAACAAACCTCCCAAATCAAATCTCTCCAGAAGTTTTTGCTACTTTGATTTGTGAAGATAAATGTATACACAGTATCTCCAAGGATGTTTCTTCAACCTGTGAAACACATTAAAGATGAAGTAAATCAAATTAACAAAGTACACTTCCTTGTGAAGAGCATTTTTACTCAGGACCATGTTATTAAGCACACACATATTGACAAGTCCTTCAGTGTTGCTTTGTAGCAAGGGTACTCTCAGAAAGAGCATATGTTAGGTTAATGATAAATTTCCACTAAAAGCAATTTTTGGTACAAATGGTGCTTAAACTCGAATTCAAAGGAAAGAGAAATCTTGTTTGTAGGGCCTATTATCAAGCACCCTCATTTTTTTCCAGAAAGTTTCTTTATTTGTTGCTTATTAATAAAACATAAAAATTTTCCCTCACAGTTTCATCATATTTTAAAAGTAAGAGAAGATGTTTTGAATGCTTATATTAGTTACTAGAATGTTTTCATTCAATTGAAAGGTGCATGTGAAGCAAGATGATGTCACACTTTTTTTTCCTGTGAGAGCTTGAAGGATTGCATCTCACCAAACTGCCATCAGAAAGTGCACATGTAAACAAAGCATGATGTCATTGTGTATTAAGTCTGTTGCATCTAGTGTAAACTAAGTTCTTTTTAGGATTTGTTTACACCAATGGCAATATCAGTTGTTTTGATGTAGAAATTTTGCAAAGAATGATTTGCAGTTTCCAAAAGAAATAATGGCTTGAACCGCAAGGCAGTTTGGTCAAATTTTTGGTCCTTTTTTAGCTAGCTGTAAGCATGAAAAGGTAAAATTTCTTCCTGTATGTTGTCCAAAATTACCTTTTGGGGGGGCATATTAAGTTTTCTTGTGAGGAAGTATGAATACCTGAAGTGTCTTTTATTAACATTTTGCATTTGACTAAACTGAATTGCCATATTCACTGAAAGATTTTTGTCCATGCAAAAGATGCTTACGGATTTTACAAACTCCCCTCCCATCTCTGTAGTAAACTTGATTTTCCTTGCTTTCTGAAAAGATAGTAATAAGGTTACGCTACATTATTTCAATAGTCCTGGAAACACACATGCGTGTATCCCATCATCAGGTGATGCAGCATGCATGATCCAGAATTCTTGAATAATTTCCTACCATAAAGTAAAAGTGGGGGTTTATTTCTCATTGAGTCTGTGTGACAAAAACACAGTCACAAACGTTCTAGCTACCAGTCCAAAAAAATTGCTTTGGACATGGACTTCCACTTACCCTAATGGACTCAGCTCCAATACAAACTGGCAACACAAATTCCTGTTTTCATTTATGCCAGTAGTGCATGCACCATGTCACTCCTCACTCTAGATTCGATATCTACATCAATTTCTGGCAGAGAAATCCCAGGAAATCCCCCCAGATCTGACTTCTTGTTCAGTCATCTTTGTCAGTGCCGGAGGCATTCTTTGCCTCACGTAGTTGAGCTGCACCTGGCCTAATTTCCAGCCTCTTGTTCTAGCCCTGTCTCATTTCTTTAAATGCCTGCCGCTGCAGTGGGACAGACAAGACCTCTGATCTACTCACCTTGCTTTGGGAGATACAGCCCTAGGCAAAGGCCGAGGCACCTGTAATCTACTTCCATCTTTCCTCTGGTCATTTCTACCTCTCCTAGTGCTCTGATTAACTGATTAATTCTCTTTTGTTTTTTAATTAGATTCCGCTGATTGCACCTGTGAGAATGGAGGAACATGCATGGTGAGGGAAAACTACCTTATTTGCCTGTGTCCGGATGATTTCACCGGGGAGCGGTGCCAGTACATTGGGCGACGTGAGTGTAATCATCATCAGGGTTAGAAGACAAAACCCGCATTTGCTGATTTTACTGTCTGAAGGTAGCATGGCTCTGGAGTACCATGTTCAAACATTTTTATGTACTTGTGAATATACATGCTCAGCACTCAAACTGTGTTGTGGATGACCCAGGATTTAACAAATGAGATGTCTGAAGTGCCAAAGTTTAGACTTTTCACGTTGACAGTGGCTCAGGTTCAAGTTGACACATGCAGAGAAAAGTTCTGAGAATGAACCAGGATTTTCAATACTGTAGAAATTTATTTTACTATTAAAAGGAAATTGAAGATTTTTACATTAATATGTGAATGATCAGGATTAGTTTGACAGTCAGTGCAGCCCCACCTCCAATGTGTACCCTATGGATGCATTAGAGCGAGCTACTCTTGTTAATATGAGTACTCTCCCTGAAGTGCATGAAAGGTAGGAGTATACTCCTAGCGCGAGAGTAACGCGCTCACATCCTCACTTGTATTGACAGGAGTAACCGCACAAACACAGCCTAAATTTCAATTTGCCACCAAAAATATGCCAAGTCACACCTTATATTGCATGTGGTTTCAGATAATTTGCTTTAACAGCTGCAATTAGCCAAGGCCTGAAAAGATCTGTGATGGGGTATGGTAATGACCTACCTACTGGATCCCAGTTGTTAAAGAACAATTGAATGTAATTTTATATCTACATCTTATCCAAGTAGATGTGAACTTCATTTAGAAGTATTAGTATTTGAATAACTTTATGCAATTTTTGGGAATTTTCCTTAGCCCCTCCCTGTCCCTTTGTATTCCTGTGTTTTTAAGAGCATAGATCTGCCAATGATCATTACTCTGTAGACAGAGAACACTGTACTTCATGCATGTAAATGGAAGCCACAGTTTAATACAGCTCTTCACATAAAGAGACCACATTTCCAGCGACATCAATAAATGCAAAACCCTATTCCATCTTCTGTCAGATAAAGAAATTTCCAAGCTCGTAAGTCATAGTGATGCTTCATAGAATGAAAAAAAGAACTCTGTTTTCAAATGATAACCACAAGTTGCAAGACACACAGGAAATGTCTCTTTAAACAAAGTCAGAATCTGAAAACTTTGTGTTGCAATTTTACACCAGACAGAAATCCAAATGGTGACTTTTACATAAAGAGGATTTATTCAGATTTTATGTAGAGCAAATATTAAATATTTCACATTTGTGCATTGGAAAGAGTGAGTTTTATTAGGTGACAAAAATTTAACTTCACGAAGGCATTCTTACCATGCATTATCATACCATATCCATAAACATGCATTATTGGTGTAGTGTTACTATGAAGCTAAGCATTTTTAAGTTTGTTTGGAAATGAAAGTAGCCAAATTTTATAACTTTTTAAATTTCGAAATACCAATTGCTCTTATTGTTTCAATTTGCTTAATTCTCCACTCATGCTCTATTTGTCATCATGGATTTTTTTCTGTCAACAGGTAAACATGTGAGTGCAGTCATCTCTAGATGTAATTGTAAGAACGGAGGAACATGCACTCCTACCAGCTCTGGCTTTGGTTTTGTCTGTAACTGCTTGCCAGGCTATGGGGATTATGACTGTAGCCTTAACAACAGTCTCATTCAAGGTTCATATCTCCATCCCTTCCTCTTTAGGCCCATTTATACCGGTACATGTGAGCAGTAATGCAAGGCAGTTACAGAAAGTGGTATGCCCACCTGATATTTAAATTTACATTTACAAACGAGGCAGAAACCTGTTCAGTATGCAAAGCATCATGTCACTAACTTTACCAGTAACAGGTGTCCCTGACTAAACAATAACAAAAGTCCTTCAAGGGAGAATCAAACGCAATACAAGGATTTGCTCGACTGTGTCAGTTGGTCCGTTACGATATACATGAGTACCCAATGAGAAACCTTATTGGGAAGAGTAGGCACTCCCAGTGCAATATTTTTTTTTAAATCACTCCAGTTTCTAACTGCAGCACTTTATCGAGGAACCGTATGCTTTGTCCACTCTTAATGTAAATATCTAAATAGAAAAACCCTGTTTTCTATTTTTGTTGACCGCACAGTATTGTGTTACTGTTAAGGTATGCAAGTGAGCCTTTACTTGATTACTGAAGCTGAAAGTTTAACTGTTCATGGGCAGATAGCTGGATATCTGCATGATTTCAGTTCAGTATCCAAGTTTCAAACCTTCCATCTTTGTGGACTTCTCTTGTAATGTTGGGTGATGTTTACGTACACTTGGTTGTATTCTGTTTATTTAACTACTAAGCCAGGAAATTCTGAAAAGAAAAGATATTAGTAAAAAGCAAGTGCAGTGCAACAAACTAAGGAAAACACCAAAGAATCTACCTATTTTTAGGCTGCTTTACCCTTAAAAGAGCAAAGGGTTACATGTTTTCTGTTATTCTTACAGTGCCCTTTTTTAATCTTGATTACTGCCTTCTGGAGTTTACCACTTATGTTTTGTATCATTTTGATGCCAATTTTATTGAGATGACACATACCTTTATCATGAAATGCCCTCTTCTCAAAAGACAAATTTGCCAAAAATCTGTTTTTTTTCAAAGGCACATTAACAAACTTTGCTCCTCTTTGGAGGTCCTTATTTGCAGTATTGCTGTGCACTGTATCATGAGAGTGCCAACTGTAGCATACATCGATGGGTGTATCTAGAGTCAATTGCTCCTCACCATCTTACTTGTCCAGTACAATCCTACTTCCCTTTGAAATTGAGCCACATATTTTCATTTGTCACCTTTTCTCTTTCTTGTTGCATACACAGGGGGTGCTTCTTCCACCGAGTATGGGATTGCGATGGGAGCTGCAGTGGTGGCTGTCTTACTGGTACTCTTTGGCGTCGGTCTCTGTCTGTGTGTTATCTTGCAGTATCTCAAGCAGCAGCGTGAAGGGCCTGATGGGCAGTACAGACCAGCTCTCAGTAGGGATGTCTACAGTGTGGAGGCTGTCAATATCGGTGAGGCTGGAATTGTTGGCCATGGTGCACTAATGATACTACAGATAGAATATCAAGACTGTACAAATGCAAACCCTGTCCAGGGTTCTATAGTTGTGAACATTACCAGAAATTCATAAAATGCTCATTCTGAAAAGTAGTGCTGTGTATATAGTTAGGCACATTATTTAATATTGCATAGCTAGGAGTGAACTAGTACAGGCGGCCGTACCATACTACATGAGAAACATGCCTCTGCTTACCCCACTGTAGTCGCAACGTGGCTAACGTTAAGTCAAGCAGTTCCAGTGAATTTAGAAGGCTGACAGCTACACAAACCATAAAAAAATCTAGCCCTCTAAATAATGCTCTAATATGATTCTCACACGTGTATGTAGCATGTACATACAACAGTATGTCAACACAGTCAATGTTGAATGCACATTGCCAAATTCCGATGCAACAACTTTGACCCACTGTAAAAATTTGTGGCCATCTGAAGATCTTTAAGCTCTATGTAAACTTTGAAACACTGCCCTCAATCAACACTATTTGCAAGTTTACAGCTCGAAAAAACTGGCCTTGAAACTCAGTGAGTTGTCCAGATTCAGTGTCTTGAAGTGAGCATACCATTGCACCCTATAGTGACATTTTCAGAGGCAGTATATACAATTAGTTTTTGTCAACATTATTGACAAAACTTGGGCAAATAAAACTTCATGAGTTGGTCTTTCACGTAGGCTATATGCGGTTTACTTCCTATTAACGTAAAACTGTACAAGAATATGACCTTATCAAACTACATGGAACCCTGCTGTCATGAGTTTGCGCATATGCACACACAGACCTTACAGAAGTCTGGTAATGTCAAGTTTGACATTACTAATGTTGTAATAACCTGTTATAACCCTGAATGTCACTGATTTAGCTCTTAGATAAGTGATGTATTATGGAACAGCTTCCCCAGAGTTGGGTACAGCTTATTTGCTCTGCAAAATATAGCAATTAGTAGGAGTAAGGGTTATGCTGAAATGAGTGTTCGGCATTGCTTTTTGTTTTGCAGCATGCCTCAGGGAATAATTATATATTGAGAAGAAATCAGTCAGTTGTTTGTGACATTTAGTGAAGGGATCTATGAAGCTAGCATCTTGACATGTCAGCTTTTTCTTGTTCGTTTAAGAATGTTCTGTAAAAAGTTTTTTAAAGGATCACTTCAGCAGCAAAGTGCAATACGTGGAGAGTGCAAAAGCAATGCATTTATTAACATTGCAGTTCTTTCTTTAGGTTTGAACTCTGTTGAACCTAATGACTACATCCCTCCTAGCTATCACCAATGCACGCACCACTCATCCCATGCTAGCGTGGCCACCCCAGATGGATCCATGGATGGCACCCTGACTCCCACAAACCCAAGCTACCAGCGTCAGATATGCAGACAGCAACGTACACCAGAGAGCCCCCCACCAAACTATGACACCATCCTCAAGCTGGCCCGAGACTTGAGTCCTTTCTATCGAATGTTCACCAGCAAAGGAAGCCTGAACTTTAGCGAAACCAGGTCACAGCCGCCCAGCTTAAGGGACCAGGATAGTGTGCCTAATACAGGGTCTTTGAACACACCCACCACTCCATGCAATGAATGCTTTGAGATGAAGCACATGCCGGATGTCAAGGAGGACACCTGATTGGTTGACTGGCTGATTAACTGGCCAATGCACAAACAGTATTACCCAGTGATGTTCTGTGTGTGCCTGGAATCATGGGGATGCACTACTGTGTCAAAATTGTGCACATTTGGAATGGGTTAAGGCTACAGCTGAAAAAAAAACTCTGAATGGACAACTTAGAGAAATATGTTGAGTAATATGCATAAAAGTTTGGCAACAAACCTTCTAAAAAGGAACAACTTTGAATGGATCTACTAAAGGAGGGAAGAAGGCACTTGTGATTTTAAGTCTGTATGGTGCATACATTCTAAATAGCTGACAGGGTTACTTGAAAAGGGGTACCCCTTTTAAATGGGCATGCTTAAGGTTGGCCCAAACTTAATGCCGGCACTTTCTTATTACATTTCAATGATGTTTAAACATATTTGTCTGTCGTTTCATTCAAGTGAAGGGCAGCCTTACATGTAAAAGCACAATGTTGTAAACTGCACTTACAGAAAACATAAACACCTGCATTTACATGTACATCGCACAGAAAGATATGAACCATATTATATTATTGAAAAACAAAAATGTCCTTGAGAAATGGGTAATTCCAGAAATTAGGGGTCCATTTTTTTGGGTGTCCCTGTCACATCTGACATATGATTTTGTAAGTGCAAAACACATTTTCTAATTTCCAAGAGTGATGAATTAATGCAAATTACCTGCCAAACAAATAGTTCAAAATCAATTCTGGTGATATTTCCATGTCAAGTAAGAAAGATCGGATGCACTTTTGGACCCCTATTTTCTGGATTTACCCAAATATCAATTATTTTCATTTTCAGTGAGTGGCCAGAAACACAAAAATGTTCTTGAGAGATCTTTTTAGAGATCTGGGTAACAAATAATTCTCCTAAATGAGCCAGTTTAGTATTTCCAAAAGGAAAGGTCAGTGGAGAACACAGCAGACAGGCAAGTTAGCATATAGCTACACTAATATGGCAGCTCTTCACACGTGCAAAGTACTGTTCCCGAATGACTTCAGACACCCTTCATTTTGGGCATGAATCATGTTGGACTACCAAGCTAGCTCCTTGCTTATCTTACACTCATTATTATCATTCTGAAAACTGACATGGCCAGCCGCAGTATATGTGTAAAAGGAGAGCAAATGTGAGGAAATGTGTGTCAGTGTGCAACTTGTGATATAAAACAGTGCATAAAATAATGTAAAACCAGTTAATACACCGGTACCTAAACAATATTCAAACACACAGACAATGTTGTAATCAGTCCATCACATATCCCTCCAAAAGTCCAGTCACTTCTTCTTCCATAAGACCACTTGTAAAAGGGTGAACAATGACAGAGAAATGTTTCTGTCACATTTCATTTGAATAGCTTGTGATCAGACTTCTTGACCAGATGGTTTGTGATGAACTTGACCACAGTACTGCACGCAAAGTTCTAATACCATTAGTACGCTGCAAGTTGTTACGACACCAGACTTGTTTTCATTCAGGATCTATAAATATAGTTTCTATAATGCAAAGGTATCCAGAGGGCTGTTATTTTTTGTCTACTATGCAGCAGAAATCATGAATCATGTAACCTACACCATAGCTAATTGGTTACGCTGGAGCCATCTTTGTATACTATACCATGCATTATGCATGTCATTGATCTCCATGTGAAAAAATCTGGATAGGTCACCGGCTGTCAAAAGTTACAATCCTCCATATCACAGCTCCATTCATGTGAGATTTTGATAATTATTTGAGTGATGGGAATGGTTGAGTCTGGTTTCCTTGGTACATTCCAGTGGATCAATCAGGAACCAGCTGTGCACATAGGTTGACTCGTTTCTCTAGCTAACAGGTTATCCTGAGTGTTTTTAAATGGAGGTGAGTGGTGCATGCAGGAGTCACAGTGCATAACATGGTGCTATTGAAGAAGGTTTGGAGATGCAAGTTCAACACAACTTGCACGATGGAAATGGTAACTGTAGTCCGATGACGCATCTTTTTGTTTATACATGCATGCAGTGAAACAGGTCAGTTAAGTTTTCAAGACTCATCTAACAGCATGTGAATGTCCCAACAGCAAGTAACATTAGCTAGTGCCCGGATGTACAGGAAATTATCATGCATGATTAATTAGCAAGTCATCTCAGAGGAATGTGACACTGATGGCAACAGGGTGATATCAAATACTTGAGTATGTTTTATTTTGACAGTACTATACTATACACAACAATGAAATGTGTAACATACAAAAGAAATTGCACTATTTTGCCTCAGAGAGATATATAGATGATAGAGATAACAGCTTATATTTCTTGCATTCTAATTTGTATACAGCTCATCTTCATGACAGTCAGAAAATAAAGACACTTTAACATGGGATGAAAATGTTTGGAAACTGATCATTGTAGGCAGTGCATTTGAGAATCACACCTTTCAATCCATGTATGTGTGTTTGACTGTTTGTTGTACCATGATTCAGTTTGACTGAGGTTAGGTCCATGTTATCCATACAGAATATTGCCAGGTACTTTGAGCTACACATTTGGCAGTTCATGACTTAGTTGACTTACGTATAAGCCGAGAACTCATCAGTTTGTTGGACAAAAACTTTTCTTGCTAAGAGCATTCAGTTTGTGGTTTAATCCTTACTTGCTACTTGAATGGTAAGCATTTAGAACTGACATCTTTGAAAAGCCCCTCATCAGAGCAGTATTGTCTTCTAATAAAACAATTTTTCTAACCTAATTTCTAACCTCCACTTTTCTTCCCTTATACCAACTGCCTTTTAATATTGAGTGTCCGGATTAGCTAATCCCTTAAACACTTTTTGAAGTCCAGCCTGTGCAAAGTATGTTTTCTAAATTGATTGCTACCTTATGATCAGTTCTTGTACATTCAGCTCATAGGCGTCATGGCACATTTGTTATGTCAACTGAGCAGCAATCAATCCCTTTAAATGTTGCAAATCTTCGACTTGTTCTAGCGTCCTTACAACATAAGGGTAAGTTCAACGACTACCCTTATGGAATATCAAAGTTGTCAAGCTTTCACTAGAAGTAGCTCTGACTTCGAGACTGAAGTTAGGAGTGAAAAAAATCAAGAGTTGTACCACAAATGCCACAAAAATGTAAATGTCACAGACATTCGTCAAACCGGTTAATACTGCAGACATGATTGGAGTCAGTTGTGTGACTTGCTCTGTTGATCTCAGGTAACAGACTATCCCACATGTGGCTAATGTCCTTGCCATCCATTCTATTACTTGTGGAAGTTTCATTACCTCTGATCTCAAACGATTCTCTAATAAGTCTCATCCCTTCATGATTGGCCTTAGCCAAAGTCTTAGATTCATCCCAAGACAAGGGTGTCGGAACAGGTAGAAGACTCCACACCAGTACAATATGCATGCAAGTAGGGACACGTACTTCTCTAGAAAGAATTAATCTCCTGTCTAATCCCTCAGCTTTTACCCACACTGTACAAGACCTCAAGCAAGAGAGTGACTTGAAATGTTAACTGAACAGGCATCAGTCTATACTTGCCCTTATGGTCCTCAGTCTGTTACCTGTTGGAGGATTGAGGAATGTTAGGATTAGTCTCGAGGAATTCATCTGAGCGTGGGTGGTGCCCAGTAGAAAGGGCAATTTGTAGAAGTAATTATTACACAAGTTCATTTATCAACTGCACACATCACAGCTACCCAGCATGGTTTAATAAGGACACGGCACTTAGCAGGAATCAATTCAGACGCATTGTGTCTTTTTTAGTATTCCCATGTTTAAACAAAAACAAATCTGTAAAAATGGCTGAAACACAAAATGATGTGTCTCCCAAGGAAGATATATACCTGCGGTGATTACATGTAATGGATAATGAAGTAAATACTCTATGTGTAAGAAGGCCCAAATCTCTCTGCTATACTGCACTTCAAAACTGGGTTACAGGAATTACACGGGACTGGAAAGGCCTGTCAAGAAAATTTGGCAAAATTGATACCATCTGAAGTAACAGTTCTTATGTCAAGTAAAGTCAGCAGTTACAAAAGCTGCAGTTACAAAAAAAATGTATGCTAAAGGCTTTTTGAACACATAACAGTTTTCAAAAAAATCAACTGAAGATATTTCAACATACCTGACATTTCACAATTTTTCAAGGAAAATAGAAGATTACCACATTCTAAATAAAAGTGATAATTTGGATCCAACTTCCCATTGCATCCATTGCAAGGGTAGCACCTTCCAACCAAGAAAAGTAAAGGAACAACACCATTTCAAACTACCACAGTATGAAGGGTAAACTTTTTTCTGAATTTGTTATTTTATCATTCGTTAGCACCTGTTCATTCTTGCTTTGCTGTACCACCAAGAGACAATGGACAGTTGGTTACTCATGGGCAGAGCTGTTTACAGAGAGTTGCGACATGAGTGTCTCAATTGTTGGAACCAAAATGGTGGATTATGCATCAATGCACATGAAAAATTAGCACATGATGCCTGCATGTTGTACTGCACACATAATGAACAGCTACTTTGTTCCCAACATCTGAAATTTGTGCTACTCAATAAACAGCTCTGCTCATGGGCAGAGCCATGCAACATTTTCTTTGTTTCATCTTTCAGCATCTTCTATTGGTTTATTCTCAAAAGCCAGTTGTTGTGTTCCAATATGGCGTGTGCCCCAGTTTTCTTCCATAATATGTGACCTGTCACCACAAAATGAGCTGGAAGTGGGAATGTTCAAAAATTGAGATATTGGTATTTTTTAATTCAGCAGAAAGAGAGCTCTCCAATGGCATGTACATGGAACACTTAGGGTAGAAGTATAAGGTGACAATGTGACATTATTCTGGCAGCTTTGTGTCTTTGTTTCCAACATTGTTTCAACATTTCAGACCAGGCACGAATAATGCTATAGTCGAAATTGCTGAGAAAATTTGTAAATATTATATGATCCAGTAAAATATTGGGAATTAAACAGGAGACGGGCTACTTTTCCCAAATATTAAAAACCACAAAAATTGACCTCCACTTATGACTTTGAACCCCAAAAACAGGAAAAAGCGGGATGTGACTTTACTCTCAGTTTGTTGTGACAGGTCACATATGCCTTCTTCGATTCACCCGGGTCTGACTATCACCATTGGTTTGATAACGATGGATGATCCTGGTCACACTTTCTGTAGTAGAATTCTATGGATGCCTATATCCATGTAAATCAAATACTGAATATATTCATCGCATTTCCACCAAGTAACACTAGATGATTTCAAAGGTTTTTATGAATTCTCTTATGATAGCCATACAACGTATATTTCACTATATCTACATGTTCCATGCTTTCACTTCAAATATACATGTACACTGTGTTCATGCAAACAAACTTCAACAAGGCTGCAGACTCATTCAACATGTGAATCTACAGGAGGGAGTGGTCACTACTTATAACACCTCTCCCACAAATAGATTTTCTTTGATTTCAGAGATAACTGATTGATTCAACTCAAATACAGTAATAATAATAACACAGGATTTCTATAGCACCATTCCATCTAAATCATGGCGCTAAGGATAACAATGACCAATGATATAAGGACATTTCAAATTTAGATTGCAAATAAATAATTTTTTTTTGAAGGATGAAACAGTTTCCAGTTTCCAATCAAAATGTACTTTCATTTGAATACACAATTTGTTGGAGATTTGCAGGCATTTTTCCAAACTACCTCTTTGTGTAATGTTCAACCCAACTCTGTAATAGCTCTTAGGAATATGCACAACATTCAATGGTGCAAATAGTATGCATTTGCACACAAATTCTGTGGTCATGCTTATAGCACTTTGCCTACTTTGCTTGCTAAAGGCATAGCACTTTGTTGCTGTGGGAATAGTACTATGCACAAGGTACTAAATATAGTACTATGCACAAGGTACTAAATATAGTACTATGCACAAGGTACTAAAGATAGCAGAAACCATAATTAGCTCTTGGTCAGTCATATACAGACTCTTTGGGTTAGGTGTTGTATGTGCATTGCGTGCACATTAATAGAAAAAAAAACAATTTGCAGACTTCCATATCATGTACTTGTATCCTTATCGTTTACTTTGCCAGACCTGCCAACTAGTACGATTTTGCCATATTTTCTACGGGAATTTAATTGAAAATACAACTGTACCTTTTCTCCCCCATAAAATACAGGTTTTAGCCATTTTGACACGCCTGAAAATATCCTGAATTAACTGTTGCGAGTTTACATGATCCTCAAAAATCAGTTGCAAAAGCAGATTGTAAAATGAAGTTTTTTGCAGCGATCTCTGAAAGACTGGGTGCGAAAACACTACTGGATGGAATGCAATATAATGCATGCGACTGAAATATCTGTACATATACACATGTACATGCAAACAGTATTGAAGTGGGCATTATTTGTTGCAGCTTGAAGTGCTAGCTTCGTGTGCAAATACCATCCTGGAACCCTGCCATCGTTGTGCTGTGATTGGCTGCCAGTAAAATATCAATATTCATGTTGTGTCAGTGGAACTTGTTTCAGCCATTCCTGTGTCAGAGGAAATAGTGACTAACAATCTCCATTATAATGCGTGATAGCATGAATTCCATCGTAAATTAGGTTAGTGAATTTTAGTTTTCTGGATAGAGGGCTTCATGACAACTAGTCACGTATGTTTCAGAGGGAAATTATTAACTACCCATGTCCCATTTTTAAGGTCATTTACATACGTAATGAGGACCATGAGAATTCTTGCCAGTCATGCAGCTGCTTCATTTCATGAAATTTACATCTTATTTCCACTTTTTGGAAATAAAAATTCCTGCCCACAAATAGTTTCATAGTAAGATAAGGCTTTTTCCTAACATGTTTTGTGAAAATAAAATTGAGAAACGATACCAGAGTGGTCAAAACTAGTGATTTTGTGAAAGCTCTTATCGTAAGCGGTAATTTGTTTGCATTTGATGAGATTTTTGAAGGCTCAAAACAAACATTCATGGATTTCCTGAAGTTGTTAAAAAAAGTGGGCTGTAGTGGAGAAAGGTGTGAAGGTTTTAGATTTACTGAAAGTTTTCCACTAGATTTTTTTCTCTTCCTGACAGCAAGCGCTATCGACCTAATTCAGCCTCAATTATTCCGCATAATCTTACAGCCTTGCGAGTGTAAGAATTCAGTGACTCGGGACCGAAAGACGAATGCAACACTACAGTAAGTTAACATGAAGTTTATTATTGAAACCGAGGTGTATCTGTCATTATAACGTTGCCAGGGAAATGATACAATTCAGGGTATCTATCCCAAGTTTTACATGTACAACACATGCATGAACCACATGAACATGAACCTTGCTGCGACGCATAATTTCCATGTACATGTACGTCAGTACGCTTGTAACGGTACGCGGTACATGGCTGGATCAGTTTTGTGCATGTAAAACACATAGATCACGCTGTGCAGAAGTGTCAGAAACAACTCATGAATGTCAAACAGAACAATCTAGTTGAGAATCTGGCCAGTCGTATGCACTGTCTCACTGTTCTGGGAAACTTCTAAAATTGAGAAATTTAGTGGAAAAAAGACCAAGAGATTGATTGATTGAAAATGGAAATAGTTTATCATCTTAGCAACCACTTTGAGGCTAAATTTCATATTTGTGTAGCATTTCGTTTCACGATTCTATGGTATTTTATTCGTTTAAAGCCTTCTAAAGCACATACAAAGGGTTCAATGGGATCGTTTGTTAATTTTGTCCAAACAAAGTCTTCAAACCGAGAAGGCTCAACTGAGGATTGGCAGGTTGCTAAGTACAATTCCTTATGGTTCACAAGAATCCGGTCAAGTAACCGCCACGCACGGTCAAAGTCGTTAATTTCCACACATCGAATGGGAGTAAAACATACGAGTAGTGCAGTAAAGTTGTGCAGTCATTTTTAATCGCACAGTTTTTACATGCTTTACGTGTATCATTCTGTACCAGATTTCATGGAGACTTCAATTTTTGGATATATATACACTGCACAAAATGTCAATGCAACACAAGTGTATAAATTGTTCAAAGAAGCTCTCACTTGGATTCAAACTTTGAGAAGACCAGTCATCGCGTTACAAATCCACAGAAGGGGATGGAGACAGACAGAAGACTGAAATTCATGCCCAGAAAATCCAAAAGCCCAGGCATGCAATAAGCATTCTTTATAACAAAGAATTCACAATTTGAAAACGTGGTTGAATCAGGTGGGAAAAGGGCCAACTCACTCCACAAAACTTGATAATGGATTTCTTAATGAAAAACACAACTTGTGGATTTTCAGAATACAGTTTTGTGATATCAGAGGTTGGCAAGTCTACTGTGCTTTATATTAAATGATTTATTGTGTTCTAACTTCATTTCTGTGAATTGCACACTATGCGCAACACTTGATATCATTTCAGACTTGGAATATACCAACACAGTCTCATACTAACTGTTCATTATATTTCAATGAAACCATTTTCACTGAAGCAAAATTCTGTCTTTTGCTGAAAAGAAGTAAGCACACTCTTGTAACCAGCAGGTGTGGTAATGTCCTATTCAGAGTTTGAGAAATATATATTGTCCTTTAAATGCCCCAATCTCAAAAGGAGAGTTTGAGTTGGTAACTTCACTGCAAAATAGGACTGCAGGTAAGGTTTCTGTCCCTTGTATTGATGCACTACGGGAGCCTAGGCCAAGGATGTAGATATACATGTACATGCTTGAGAATTTGAGATGAGGAATTCACAATGTTTCTGATTTTGTTTAAAGAATTCACTTCAAATCCTTGAACTAATAAGTGGAAGGGGGAAATGACGAATAAACCCCCTAAGCCGCTCTTCATACATCATCAAATGGATGTATGTCATTACCCTGGGCACCTCAGCAGGATTGCCTGTCAGGTTCTTGTCCTAAGACTGAAAAGGTCAGATAAACTGAAATATACCTTAAGGCCTTACATAAGCTCAACATTTCCAATAAAAACCTGAAATCAGGCGCCTGCCTGAAAGCTGACATCTCTCTCTCACACATTTGTAAAGCTTAAGTTTCACAAAGTTTGAAAGGTCTTGATGCAGGGAAGAGGATTTTTGAAAAAAAAGGCACACGCATCATGGTGAACCAACGTGTTTAGGGAATATAAATATCAAACTAGTTGTTCAAGTACATAAAATGATGAATTCTAAGTACATGTATCCAAAATGGTAAAATAACACTACATTAAAACCCAAACAATATTACCATTTCTAAAATCAATTCCAAAATATCTTTGAAATTTTAGTGATTACCTACAAGGAAGCCATCAAGGCATTATTTTACAAAAACACTCTTGACAGAAAAATGTCATTATTCATTTAATATGTTGCTGCTGGAGGGGCTATGGATGTCCCTACCTCTGAATACTGATGTGTCTATGAAATAATTTCTTCCAAAACCTTTCACAGGTCATCAGAATTGGGGGGGGGGCACCAAGGCTGGTTTAACTCAGTAAGTTTCTTGTCTTATCTGGCTTTTTTCAGCAATTTTTGACTACCAACCTGCTGAGAAAACCAGTTTGAGTTGTTCGGCAGTCTGTAAACCACACACACACAGCAAACATGGATAAATCTCCTTGAACTGATCTAACCTATTCATATGACTTCAATCAATTTGTTTTCAACGCCTTTTGCCAGTATGTCTGGTGGCACTCTGACTACCTGTACTTTGCTCCTTAATGCTAAGTACATCCACAGCTAGTGTGAGACCATTGGGTGTCATACCCCCTAGGATATAGAGTTTACCATCCATCATGGTGCTGGTGGAAGAACTGCGGGAGGTTGGGCAAGGAGGTAGTGCACTCCACGTCTTGGTCTCTGGGTCTAAGACTTCACCATTCCTGTGAGGCTCTTTACTGTGCCCTACAATTGGAAAAGGACAGTTGCAATATGAATGTAGATATTTACCAATGCCTGGCTGAGATTAAATCTTACACTTCATTTCATACAGATTGTCCAGATCGATGAGTATCCAATACGTGGCATAACAATGGAGATATCCATGCACTAAAGGAAGCCTATACACTAGCTTTTTTGTTGTTAGGAGTAGCTGAGTAACCATTTTTGTCTTGTGTATGATGCACTTGGGAACTTCTACATACACTGTGAATTTAAAAGACACAGACTATATTAGGTGATCAGTGCTTTGCTGCACTGCTTAACCATTTGCCGCTGGGATTCCGGCTTCGGACACGTATTCTTTATATGCGTGGCCGGGGTCTCCAAAATCGGACAAAAGGAACTTGGCCTTATAACAAAAGACCATACTCATAACAAAAGACCAGGCTGCTGGGCATTACCAACATTTTTTCACTTTCAATACTTGAGATAATCTAGCCTTGTTTTGAAACAGTATGCCACAGTTTTGGGGGCATTTAGCACGAGCGGATTACCACCAGGGACAAAAGCGTTCCACCACCGCAGCGATGAGCCACACAGTACCACTGCAGGGTAATCTGGCCCCTATTGAAAAGAGGTCAGCGACGCTCTGTGCCAGTTTCGTGAACAAAAGAAAATTACATCAACAACACCACACAATCTGGGCTCTTTTTACAAGGCAGCAGGCCTGGCTGAAATACTCCAACATCAATAGATGTTGTCTGTCAGATTAGAGTAGACACCAGACAGTCCTTCGTGTGGGTGTAAGTGTCCAGTAAATGAAGATATGAATTTTTAAAGAATTTTGAAAACAGAAAACAATGATAATGATCCCGTCTCAGCATCATCAACATTGACAAATGCCCCCGGCGCAATGAGGTTAATAAGAATGTTCAGCACATTTGAATTTTACAAGAAAAAAGTACAGTACGGTTCATTGCCTTGAAATGCAACATGCTGTGACAGACATGTGTGAGGTTGCTTCTACGGCACACTTACCCATGCCTCCGACAACTATCACCTTGTCACCAACGACTTCAGCTGTGAAATCTCCTCTCTCATACTGCATAGGTTCCATTTCCTTCCACTCATCTGATCAATAGACAACATCAATCGCTGACTACATGAAACATATACTAACACATCATTCTTATACACCAACTTCTAATGAACAGAGACACCTTCAGAGCCTTTATGGTCACTAACTCTGCTGCAGTGACTTTGTGGCCAACACTTGAGAAATGCATGACACAAAATCTTACATGCATGCTGTCATGAACCTGCCAAACTGCAAATTCTCGGTTTGTGGCCCAGCGTGAATTACATGGTGAAAAGGCTGATTGTTCGGTGGCATACGGCTCTACTCAAGCTTCCACATTCCTGTTGCCTCTTTTCAAAGTGGGGACCATTGTGAAGCTGGTGATTATGATGCAAATTTGGTCTTTTCATTTCTGGGCTACACACAAAGACCAATTACCATATACACAAGAGCCAGGATCTGCCTTCTTTCACCATGTTCGCTCGAGCGTGGGACGAGAATAATAGCTGAAAAGCGGGCTGAGGATCTCAATTTTTACGGCGTGTTTTAACAAGTCCCACTGTGAAGGGGGCTAAAGTAATTCTTTCTTGATACACTGTGTTTTTTTCCTTTTAACTCTCACAAGATTTTTTTCCGATAGGCTAACCATGCATCTTATTAATAATGAGCTTTGACGATAATTGATCTAAAATTTTGCGTAATCATAAAACATATTCATGGCTGTGACCTTACAAGAATTACATGAAATATTGAAATAAGTTAATAATTATGCCGCTATGGAGTACGGAAGTTTGCTTTAGCCACATTACTAACTTTTTTACTGGAATAAAATATCACACTAATTTATCCAGAGATGAATGTCACCAGGCCAACCAGTTTAAAGTCACCTTTCTCAATGTCATACTCCTCCACCACTTTGTAGAATCCATCCTTAGGATTCTCCTTGAGACCACCGATGCAATAGATATATCTGCCTATGGATACATTGCAGGGGAAGGCACGCTTGGTAGGGACTGGCTGTAGACTTGTCCACTGTCTCTCAACAATGTCTAATACTTCAACGGCTGGGCAGATATTCTTGGCAATTCGTCCACCTATCAAAAGCAACAACAAAAAGTTTGTATCTCTTAAAAAGCTGGCTACAAGCGTGTATTTTTCCAAAGTGTCCCTCCAAAAAAAAAAACAATCCAAAACAAAACGCTGAAATCTGTTGGTTCAACTTGCTAAAAGTTGCTTAAGCTACCCTCATACTACACATAGGCTTGTGACTGTTGCAAATTGGAGTCACAGCACTTTATAAATTAGTTGAAAAAATGTTGCCAAGACGTCTCAAAACTTGTGTGGGGTTTATCAAACTTTCTCCTAGTTTGTGAAGACGTACACGCAAATTTTGAACATGTTCGAAATTTTGGGTACTTCGCCATTCCAGATTTCTTGCAAAATAGTCTCATAGCATTTGCAAGTGTCGTGCACTGGGCACCAAACCATCTCAAAAATGTTCCGCCAACTGAAAAAAACCATGGTTTGAACCCTGGGCTGGCCAGGGAAGACCAAGGCCTGGACAAAAAGCTATCCCTGAAGAGTTGGCATCTTTGGCAAGATCTGCCTTACCTACTAGATACAGCTTATCTCCCTTGAGGAAAGTGCCCATGGCATAGCGAGGAGTGGGCAGATCAGGTAGGCTTAACCACAGCTTCTTCTCTGGATCCAAGACATTGCATTTCTCACAAGGTGTCGTATCAGGCTTCATTCCTCCGACAACCAAGACTTTGCCATCTGAGAGAACAAACATCAGATTACCATTAAGGTTGCAGATCTCATTTGAAAATAACCACCTCTTGGTCTTGGTTTAATTCTCAATCTTTTTAAAAACTCCATTTTCACGACACAGCTAAACTATGGGAGGCTGAATGTTTTAATGCTAGAGACACTAGTTATTGTTCACACATGTATACATATGTACATGTACGTTGCCACATTTTAGCTGCCTTCCAACAATTCTAATGTGAATTTTAATTGGCGTATATCAAAAATCAGGGAAGGACTATACTATGGTGGTTTTCCAATACTCTGTTTCACCTCCATCCTTATTAAGCTAACACCTTCAAAGTTGGGGGGAGGGTAAAAAAAGGCAAAGCCTATGACAAAGATGGCTACTAGAAAGCCATCCTTGAGGGTAAAAACAAGGGGGTGGGATGTACCATAATTGTCGGAATGTAAGCCGCCCGGTGTATAAGCCGCAGCATGCAAAAGTCGGCAAATTAAGATTTCAAATCGGCGCATATGCTGCACAGCAGTGCTGACGATTCAACCAGGTGCTGCATGCTATAGCACCAGTACAGCATGTCAACTAATGGTTCTACTGTACATGCCATCCAAATAAATTGAGAAAATTGTGAACGAGTATCGCCATAAAAAGTGAATTTGAAATCCTCAAATTAAAAAAATTATGCAGTCAGGGACATACAATAAGATCTTGGTATCTCAAGTCAGTTAAGGTCTAAAGATTGTTTTATCTCATTAGCAGACTATTTCTTGCCAGAAGAATAGGTTTTTATGTAAAAAAAAAACCTCTGTAACTGTCCACAACACTACATCCGGTTATCTCAAAGATTTTGTGACGCTGATAAAAAAATTCGGCCAAATTGTTTCAAAGTGAAGAAAAAAAGAAGGCGGTTGATTTTTATTTAACAGTAGAAAGAAATCTTTTAGTAAAACACAAAATATCATGGTTAAATGATTATTTGTCTGCAAAAAATACACCTTGAGAATGAACGAAAAGTGGGAAAATAATCACTTAAAATTGTTGCCACAGCAGAGCAAGTAAAGTTTAAGATTATGTACACGTTTCATGTATGTGTTTTGTGCCATCATGACTTGGGGAATTCAATTAATAACTTGAAATCCGGACAACTCAATGTTTAACACTATTCAAACAGAAAAAAATTGAATTCAGCATGCTAGCTAAGGTTACATGTTATGTGTAAAATGCCCCAACAGGTCTTAGGCCTTCACCTATTGGAGGATTGAGGACTATTTGGGTCAATACATACATGTAACATTCTCATGGGAATCCAAGTATATAACTTTGCACTAGTAGGATGCCTAACCATAGGAAGTTAGTTTCTAGTGAAAGTATTTATGAATGGAAAGCAAGGCTAAGTGTGCACACAAAGTGGTACTGGACTTGCTCTGACCATTACCTGTAACACTAACAGTGACTGGACAACCAGTCAGAGGGGATAGCATGATCAACTTACCCTCCCTAGACCATCCCTTTGCATTTGTTGGTTGGTTATTTCGATGTTTAAACAACTACCCATTGACCAACAGATTGACCCATTGTATTTTCTCAGCAAATGTAAATACTTCAAGGTGATGGGGGTCATGTATGTTCCCCTTTTCACACACATTAAAAAGGTATTCTTTCCTCTGACCCTCCTCCTCCCAAAAATCTGCACACACACCGAAGAAATGATGGTCCATCGACCTTTTTCCTAAGTTCATATACAGGCTGTAAACCTCTCCAGGCTTAGTGCTTGTGAAAAGTACAAAAACAATGGATGAGACGAACTATGAAAGTTGGACAAGTATCCCCAATGGGCCACAACATGCTTACTGTACGCTACAGCTGACAACCCTTGTATCCGGTCAGCAAGCGGTTTGATGTCTTTGTTCCACTGTCCTTTCTTATTGCTAACATCGAATGACTCTACCACATCAACAGGGATGGCATCTACTCCAACACCACCAAGGACAAAGATGGTTGTCCCAACAGCAACCACAGCAGTTCCTGCCCTTGCTGTAGGGATGTTGCAGAGACGTGTCCACTTCTTGTTCTTTGGGTTATAACAGTGGAAGTCATCTGTGCCTTTGCCCTGGGCATCTGAGCCACCGATAAGAAACAGCTGACCACTGACTGCGATGACAGATGAGAACACACGCTTGATAAGAGCATTTGTGATGGTTTCCCAACGGTAGCCTGAATCGGCACCTGGCTGAGCTGTTGCCATGGTGATTAGTCAAGCACTTTCTAACTGCTGAAATACCGCTGATCTATAAGGGGTAAACAAAAACAAAAAGTGTCAACAAACACAAATACCCTGCCAAGCCCAATGGCTCTGTTTTAATTTGTGGTTTTATGAACCCCAAATTCAAGTCCTGACTTGTTTTACCATTGTAGAACTACATCTGTACATGCTCCATCCAGATCAATACGCCGTTCAAATCGTATTGCACAGATCAACTCATCACAACCAACAATTTCATATTGTATTGGTTCCATGCCAACATGTTAAAACAGGATAGACAAAAAGTACAGCCGGATTCTCATGGTCAGCATGACGTCGCATGAGCCCCAGTAACACGCAGCCCAATGGCATGGCAAGGCAGTGCACAAGTGAAACAAAGCTGGCAGTCGTCCAATGGTGAGAATAACAGCTATGACGGCAAAATACGTGTATATGTCAGGTGCAATTGGTTGATCTGCCCGACCACCTGACCAACCTCTGCATTTGGTCAATCCTGCATTAAATGCCCAACTTTACTTTTTGGAAACAATCTTTCACAACCGTGAATTACCAGAAAAGGGGCCCAGCTGATGACAGAATTACTGACAAATCCTGCAATATGATTGACCAATGGTGCAAAGACTGAGTGATCACACACGTTGACTGACTGTGCCAAGCCCAGTGGGACTCCCTCCAAGCTATGTTGCGGATGGAGTCCAGAATATGAATGGTATAAAACTGAGCAAAATATTTAATATTTTCAGTATTTTTACCAGTTTCAAGAAGCCAACTCAACGTCTGTAAATTGTACGCATCCTTATCTGTAGGATTAGGGGATTAAGAAAATCTACACACTACAGACAACATGAGTAAAAATTACATCTTTTATTAAAATTTGTCAGAATTTACAAAATGTACAGAAAGTTTCAACTTTTTCATTCTGTTTTTATAAAACTAATCTCAAGGCCCTATGCTAGTGATAACCTGGGAGCCATGCAGACTCCTCTTTTAATCCCAGAAGTAAATGGCAGAATTGTTTTTTAAACGGCAGTCTAGCGTGTTTCTTCTGCTGAATCCAATTAAGGTATTAAAAGGATTCCTAGGGCAATGGTAGGATCCCTATGCCCACTTGAACAAAATTGGTGCCCAATAGCAATGATTAGACATCAACATTTTAAGGACCATTTTGGAGGTGAATTCGGAGGATTTCGATCTGGGGTACGACAACACACAAGCCATTTTGGAGGTGAAATGAATTAGGCCCTAATGGAAGAAGTATTGGACTGCACTATCGCCCGACCACGTCCAAATGTTTAAAAAGGCGATTTGTAGAGTCCCAATTACTCAGACTAGGACCTGTCACTGACTAGTACAGCTACAATCATGGCCAAGTTGTTCCCCCCCCAGCCCCCTCTCAATGTTGGGTCTCAGTGCGCGGTCTATGCTCCAACTTGAGATGACAACATTGACCAAGGGAGTGGGGGACCTGGAAAGGATTGTATTGACACGTATCGTTACAAGCCAGGAAATCAAGCAATATCCGTGTATTCTCGAGGTCGGGCTGACGTCACTGATTCTTGATTCTTCTCTCTGATTGGTCAATTGATGGATATTCCATCTTTCACACTTAAAACTCAAAGGGGCAAAAATAGTGTAGCAGACTACGGGAAACTCTGAATTACAGACTCAAACTTTCAACCTTTACATCACATGTGCCTGAAATTTCACTATTTATGTGCTATAAATATTTCCAACACTGTTTGAAAATGTCATTGCCAAGTATTTGTATCCCGAATTCCATAAATGCTGTTTTGAAATGCATTTCTCACATATGCGAGTACATGTAGATCGTTAGGCCCTAACAAATTGCGACGGAAAGGGTGGAGTTTCGGAGAATTTCCTGCAAAATATGTTGTCCACAGGCATATTTAGTAATTTCAAACACAGCATTTATGGAATTCGGGATTACAAGGCACTTGTGAACAACATTTTGAGCTGCCTTCGCCGGGTAAAAATATTACCCAAAAACGTTGAAAATATTTCACATTGTAGGAGGACCTTTATACCCTGGACGTTAGTCACAATGCAATGTAGATTACGTCCAACCGGTAACCGGTAGACCGATAAACAGGGCCCGACGAATACATGTACTCCTCCGTCGTATACTGGGCCCTGCCCAATTCATAGGGATTTCTTTTGAAAAAGTTATCCGGGAGCATAACTAAACATCCACTTGATTTTATGAGCTGAAATTGCACCGGTATGTTCACTACTTACGGTGTAAACTATCCGCTAGGTTGTTAATTGTAGAAAACTTGCTTTTTTCTCATTTTTGGAAAAACAGTAGCCCTTTTTTGCCCTTTCCCACTCCGGACGAAGTTTGCCCCACTTGCACAGAACCAACGGCTGTTTCGTCACTTTCGTGTCACATTACAGAGATGACCAATGATTTGCTGCAAATGTGTTTGACTGGACAGGGAACCAGCCAAGGGAGTTACGTATTAGCTGCGACACAAAACAGCCATAATTTTCTACGAGTACTGAGATCGACAGGTACTCTCACAGACCTGAACGAGATCCGTAGGTGCTGAAGTCTGGGTGCAAACTAGACAAGCTCTAGTACAGGGTACCATTACTTAGCCATACAAAGAAGTGAGTGTAATGAACAAGTCAGGAGAAAATTCGTACAGAGTGGGAAAAGGGCAAAAAAGGCAACAGTTTTTCCTCCAAACGAGGAAAAGGCGATTTCAGCTCATAAAATTAAGCGGATGCTTAGTTATGCCCCCGGATGTCCCAGATAAAGTTTTCGAAAGAAATCCCTATTAATTGGGACAGGGCCCAGTATACGACAGTAGAGTATTCGTTGGGCCCTGTTCGCGGGTTTAGGCTAGGCCTACCCCCTTTGGCTTTGCCCAGACATGCCAGAGTAGACGTGAGTGCAATAAATGGAACAACCTCCGACCTCGCGAATGAAAATCTTTCCAACTCCTAACGCAAGGGCAAGATACGGATCCCTTTACTTACTGCGTGCAAGAACAATTTTCCTACCCGTGGTTAAAAATAATATTTACTAAAGATTCTTCGCCCAGATGAATAAGAGTGCGCCAACTCAAATGGGCGCTGCCATCTCTACAGTGAGTGGACCGGCAAGTAACTGTTCCCCTGAACCCACATCGCGTGTACCAAGCAAGTTTGCGGAGGTACCTGGCTGTTGTGAATAGAGCGCCCTCTGTTGTCATAACAGCAATGTATTATTGCTGTGATCCAGAATCAAACTGCCACCACCCCGCGCGCGCCGCCACCCCGCGTAGGCCTACACCTTGTAGCCCTTACAGCGATGCTATACACAAGAACAGTGATTAAAATAAAAGCTTCAAATCACGTATCTAGATCTTAAGTTGAAAATGGAAACCCCTACCGATGCATCACAATGGTTCAAGAAAGCTAGCCCATCTTAGAATTGTTCAGAAGCCTGTGTCTCAGCCCCCCCCGCCCCCCAACAATGTTAAATATATATTTATGTTGCTGTAATCTATGCTGGGATCCTTTGTGAAGAAGGGCAAGGTCTTGTCTAGTTCTGAATAAAGCTATGTACCCCCGATGGGGGACTGTGGGCCATGACTCCCTCAAAAATGAAGGTTATCTTTATTTTTTTATGAAAAATTCGGAGAGAAAGACTTTTTTTCCTGCGAGAGAAGCGTGGAAAACCTCAAAATGTATCCTGGCCTCCTTACCACAAAAAGTTACAAAAGAACATATTAAGTTGTTCCCCCCGGGTCTTTGATCCACCCGAGCGTTCTCGCACATTTCTTTAACCGCTCAGCAGCATATTTAATTTGACTTGTCGCCGTCACATACTTCGTCAAAAATGCCTTAGAATTCCGCTTTTGCTGTTACCATCTGCCCTTTTGTGCAATGCGTTGGGATCGCATTGAAATGGCATCGAACATACGCAGAACCATAGACCTGGAGGAGACCTCCTCCAGGTCTATGGTGTGTGTTTAATGCGTCCTTGCAGAACGACAAGGATTTGTTCAGGTGTTTTACAATAGTATCTGTTTTGGTATTCTTTGACGTATCCATCAGATTGTAACATCGGTATGCAACAATTCTGATCAGTTGGTTATTTGCAACTTCTATGCATAATTTATTTATTCCTTTATATTTTTCCATTCGTATTTAACTTTAAGTGTATTATTTGATTACGGACAATGATTTTAATGTCTGTAACAAGCTAGATGTATAATCATAAAGAAAGAAAATGCCATTTTTGGGTATTCCTCAAGTGTCAATTACATGTACGACGATTTTGTAAGAGATCGTTATGTAATGCGCTCACCGCCTTCGTATTAAGGGCGGATCCAGAGCCCCCATTTTTTTGGGGGGGGGGGAATTTATTTGGGGCCTGAGGGCAAAGATTTGGGAATTTTTTTGGAGTTACTTTTCATGGTCTTTCTGAGGGTTGAGGCCACACTTAGTGCTTTTTACTCGCTCTGGGAAAGGAAGGAAAGGACACCCTCTCCACAAAAAAAGCATTTCATTACGTTTCAAAAGATGAAAGATGTTGCCCCTGTGGCACCTGCGCCCCAGAGTCGCCCTTGCTTTGTATTAAGATGTTCAAACTGTGCAACCAACAAATTTCGTGCACCGCACCGCCAACTCGTATAATTTAGAGTGTTTGTCAGTAACGAGTGGTGATCACAAGGAACTGACTCAAACATAAAGAAGTGTTTGAAGTAAGCTAAATGAATTAGAATCGGCACGCAAAGACAAACACGCACACAAAACACCACTTCGGTGTGATAATACCGTTAGGCAGGCTCTTTTGTTGACATATGAAATGGCTTTAACAACTGTGTTGTTGTCTATCTGTTATGCATCGCCTACTGACAAGGTAGCTTGGTTCCTCTATACAAACCGGATAAATGCACACCTCAGGCCAGTAGGTAACAATTAACAAGACATCAAAATAGACACAGGTAATCAAACAAAATCTGCAGTCTGTAAAGGAAACCTGTTTAGATGGAGGAACAGCCATACACACGGCATGCTGCGCGTTTCTGTTGATTTATTTCTTCTTTCAATAAAAAGAGCCGCTAGTACTCAAGAAAGCAGAAGTCACACAAAAGCACTCGCATGAGTGTACGGATCAACACATGTATCGATCACAGTGTCGACTATCTTTGTCCCAAGCCCAAGAGTACGCCTTACTCAACAGCCAACCATAATATCGAACTGTTAGTCTCGGTGTGTTATGCTGCCAGGACGGGTGTATGTCTGTGTAATGGGCACACCTCATCTATTATTAATAAACAGGATGAAGGGATCATGAAATAAGATCGCCAAAAGATCCACACAACTGTAAAACCTACGATCAAACCGTCACATTTATTTGAGGCTTTTAAATTTCACTCTAATTTTTTTGACATATTTCTAGATTGTAAAAATGCGAAATGTATCTTTGATTTCTAATAATTTAGTGCAATCTCCAACTGGCTGTCTTGGAGAAAAGCACAAATAGGTTTATAAAAAGAAACCGTCGTTTACTTGTACTACTTTTTGTTCAGTTTGGCTTGATTGTTTGACAAATTTTATATTTGCCAAATGAGTTGTATTTTACTTGGAAATACCTTCAATGATTTTTTTGTTCGAAAAACATGCTGTGTTTGTTAAACTTTTGGTTATTTCTTGACCCCGTTCAATTTGGGAGGGGCCGTCTCCTTGACGACCGACAATAGCGCAGTGCATAGTGGCCTCATCAGCCCACCTTGTGCCCATGTCAGTTCCCCACCAGAGATTAATATACCTGCACGCGCTGTATTGGTCGTGGACCCCATGAAGTATATCATCACCTGTAGTTGACTGACAAGCAGACACTCGACCAACATGAATGATTGAACGTTAGCCGGCGGATAAACCCCAAAATACAATAAAATCAGTCCAGATCGGGATTATCAGATAACATTTTGGTGGAGGACGCGGTATAACATCGTGTTGGGTCGCGAGCACAACGCTGCAACTTGACACTACTCATAGGAACACTGTCCTCATTTGCGGCAGGCCCTCTCGGCTATCACTGTAGTGACCCACGCCACGTCGTTGACAAATTCAAGTTGGCTATTTCAACCAGGAACTGAACAACAGATTATGGGCCAACTTTAACTGTAAGTACCTTGGAAATCTTTCACATTAAACCAGTCTGTAAGCAGAACAATCCGTATCACTCATTGCCAAATTAGTAAGTTATTCTTCAAAATAACTTCTTGCTTTCTTGATACTAAGAAAAAGTTAAACTCCCGTGTCTTAGCTCACCCGTATTCACTCCTACGACCACTATTGCAACAATAGATTCAAAGAACCGTGAAACAGATTTCAAGAAGGCAATTCAATCAAAATTGACTTCCTTTTTTTTGGTAAGTTCTCATCAGGATAGATGAACATTTCAAACTCAACCTTGACTTTCCCGCCATCTATCTCAATTGTTTACTTCACTTTGAATTCATCTGAGTTTTCTTACAATGTCATGTTTTCCCCACAAACTTTCTAAGAAGTTCCGTGATAAAGAAGTAGGACAATTCTAAACAAGTCTGCCGATTGAATACAAAAATGTTACCATAACCACCAAAACCTTTAAGGATAAGTTTTAAAAGTCAAAACGTCTCTGTAGGCTGTCCCCCGCTACAAAATGCAACCCCAAAGTAACATTCATTTTCACCAAATCTAATTGTCCCAAAATTTTGTTTTGCATCAAATTGAAGCCAATAGTGCTTTGCTTACACTGAAATTGCATTTGAAGATCATGTTGCATTTTGGAGATATTTTCAATTATGTAACACAACTCCTTTCTGTTCTGTCTGATGGATATTTACACAATTAATCTTGCGAGCATGTGCAGTTACTAATTTCAAATCCCTAAATTATCACAAAACTGTTTGGTAAGGGCGCATACCTTACCTCCTTCGAGTTTCTTTCTAGTTCTAAACCTGATGAAACTGATACTTTGTTAAGAAGTCAATAAATGGTCCTTTAATTTGGCCTAGCTGGGTAGTTTCAGAATTGAATGAGTTTAAGAGAAAACAACTTCTAATCATTTAAACTTGTGCCGTTTGCCTCAGTCAATTTGCAACAATGGTGCTGATCTTATTTTTTAAACTTTATTTACTTCTGTAACAACGTTGGACCATTTCAAGATCCTGTTTGTTTGATGGAAAATAAAAGAGGTTTTAATATAACATAAACAGCAGAACCCTGTTGAACTCAGTACATGTATCACTCTGTGAGCCTTTCCAATGATCTTGTTTGGCGTGAACATACTGATTGTTAGCGTAAATTCCTTGAGATGGAACAAAAAGTAGTTGTCTTACGTAATCGAAATTATCTCCGTAATGTGTCATATGATTTCAAAGGAAGTCTTCAGGTTTGAAAATATAACACACTTATCTTGATTTGATACCCCAAACAACAATTTATCTTGATTTGATACCCCAAACAACAATTTCTGACACTAATTTTGGGAGAAATTAAATGTTACTTTTAGGGTTGCGTTTTATTTGGGACACCCTGTAGTGGGTCTGCCAAGAATTTCATGGGAATTCAGCACTTGTGATTTTTGACGCCAGAGCAAGCATGGATAAAGACAGATATTCATCGTGGATATTGATGGCACGTGTTGATACTTGATTCTCAACTCTCTTTACTTGTTGCACCTATGAATAAAGAATGGGTCGCAGCGGTCAACTAAGATCAGTACCGGTTGTCGAGACCATGGGTGTCTGGTAACGTTTTGCAATTATTCCAGTGAGCGGTTGATAAACGTAATACTGTACAGGGATGGGGGGTAATTGTTACCGGGCAACACTCGATCGGCGACCGGAATGCCGAGTTATCTGTGCGCTGATAATGCCGTTGTTCAAGCTCCTTGTAAACACTTGACAATTTCTGATGCCCAATAAAAAACTGTGTTCATAGATCACTGTCAACATGTATATCATGACGAGGTCACCAAACAGTAAAAGATTCATTCATTCACAGAGGGCAAACTGCACATTATTCTACATAAAAAGATAGCAATTTTTATGGATCGTAAAATTCCATTTGAATTGTAATCCCTTCAAATGATGTATGTCAAAAGTCCTCTGAGGCGAAAAAATCGGGACTGCTAACAAGCATTTTCTTTAGAAATGTGTGTCATTTGCGGCCAGTGGCGTATCCAGGTTTCGGGTTTGGGACAAGATGAATATTTGTTTCTAAAAACTGCTGTCTAACATTTTTCATGAACTGGACCCCCACCCCCTGGATACGCCACTGTTTGCAGTACACTGCTTAGGATTTCTGCAATGTTAACATTTTGATTGACACATAATTCCATGGTTATATCTAATGGATGAGCTCTGGATACGTATGATATGTTAGTCCTGGCCTCTTGGATTTATATTCGTCACAGCACATATAAAGTTTCCATAAACAGTAAGCTTTTACCGTTACGCCATCATAATCCCAACCTTTCAACTAATCGGTTTATCATCTACTGCTATGTATCGGTCTCGATACGCCCTGTTGGTCCAGCAAGGCTCTTCCTTTATTCTGAATCCCTTTGTAGAATTATCCAGGACAGATATCCCATTGAATCAATAACAAAATCTTCGTGGATCTGTGGTGTTGGACCGAAAGTTGTTGCCGCTGAACAAAGTGTCCAGAACGATGGGATAAAGTGTGTACATTCTTCGTTGACGATATTTTTGAAGTTGTGGTCCAGGCAGGCCTGGAAGGGTTAAATTGCTTCGTGAATATTTTTGTTACTCCACTTGATAACTTCATTCGACATTTCAAGACAGCGCATTAATGTTGGTGTTCTTTTGATTTGGACAGGTGTGCTGGGAAAAACAACCTTGTCATGCAAATACAATGGAACTCTGAGGAACTTCAGATCAAGAGCCAACAGTGCTAGAATTGGGAAGCTAGAAGCAATGTGAATGCCATAAAGATGGCCATCCGTCCGAGTCCAATCAATGGGGGCCCCTGCCCAAAATACCGGGCGTCACCTCTGAGGAAGCCAAAGGAACATCCCGACATTAAAGTGACCAGCCATAAACAGACTGTTCAACACTCAGTTCGTGCCCAGAAACTGGACGAGCGGCAGCTCAGTAAGTTGTTCAAGAGTCTGGATGACCTCAAGATCAAAAGATCGTTGCAGATCGATAAGGAGATATCTGAACAAGAGCAGATTTTGGAAAACCTGAATAATGCCTGGGAGCAGCGGCGCGCTACGCGGGGCAACAGCTCAAGGAGTACTTTCGCAGACAGTGACTTGTCTTCGTTATTGCCAGATCAATTTAAGAGAGGACGTCGTCCTTCTTTACAGAGAAGCTCCAGTAATTTTGACCTGTATGCGTTCATGATGCGGAGGGCAAGTGACCAGGCAGTTGCCCCTTACAATGTCAGCACAATTAGAGGAGATAAAAACAGCCCCAAGAAATCTAGATCTTCCAAGCAATTAAAAAAATTTCCACTCCAAAAGTCAACCTCGATAACACTCAACAAGGATCGGTGTGATTCTGGTTTAGCGAAAGCTGCAGATGTCGATGTCCTACCTGGGAAATCTGATCGGATCAGGATAATGTCTACCTCACCGGTATCAGCTACAAGTCTATCCAGAAGTATGAGCATTGAAAGTCCACCACCATCAACGACCTTTCACGAGTTAAACGTTAAAGACGGGACAGCACCACCTACGCCTCAACGTTTCCCTTCTGGATCTGACTGGCCGAGTCAAGTTGTCAGTGACGTCAACAAAGACGCATCAAAATGCGCGCAGCAAAAGCAACAGAGAACTGCGCATGGAACTAGAGGGCCCATTCCAAACAGAAAAGGCAGAGAAGGATGTGAGGGAAAGAGAGATTTACGAGTTGATGCTCATAACGAGGCAAGGACGCATGGATCACTTTTTGGAAAACTAAAGAAGGAGGTATCATTTCATTTTGACAAAGAGGAGTCTCAAAGAGATGCTTTAGGTAGTACAGGTGTTGCCCTAGGCGCTGGAATTATGGAGAAAAATAACATCCTTGAACCATCCCCAGTGTCGTCACAATCTGCCATCAGTCAACAAGAATGCAAGGAACCAGACTGCATTTTTCACAACAAGGCATATCGCAAGACTCATTACTCTGACGGCGATGAGTATACCATTGATGACTACTACCGCACTGTTGGCGTTAAGTCTGCCGTGTCCCCTCTCTTTGTGTCGGCTAGTAGTCCCCGCTCTTGGAGTCGACGTGGAATGGTCCGTCCTCCATCTCCGAACCTGTCCGATTTTCTCCATGATTTCGACCAAGGGAAAACCGCCAAAGACTCATCCAAATGCAACTCAGCAGAGTCCGGTAGCAAGTTTCTGTCTGTCCGCCGACCTCTTAAGGGCTCGAACCGCGAGAGAATGTTGAAGGACAAAGAAGAAAACGTTCGAACTACTTTCAACCTGATGCGGCAGAAGATGGCAGACCTGAAACCATGCGAGTTTAATCAGAACTACGGCACACCAACCCCAAATTGGAAAATACTCAATCCTTTAAAAATGCGACACAAAATAAACCAGAGCAATCCCTTACATGTCAGATGGGGGCTCTAGCACTCAATGCGAGTTAGGAAACGGATTGGAATATTAATTCTCTGTTGTTTTCTGAAATATTTTGGGCAAAATGCCTCCTTCGACCGGAAGCTATGTGTGCGAAATTCTGACGCACAGTGAGGAGATCTGGGTCCGACATGGAGAATCTGACCATACCGAATTGGCACATTGTATGAGACTTCCCAGAAATAAATGTAGCCGCAACTTTGTGATACTCATCCAAGATACACGCTTTTGATGAACTTGAAAAGACAGGCCACCAATCTGATTTTGCTAATTTCAAATTAAATTAACACAGGATTTCTAAACTTTCTTGGCACGCTCAGTTTGATTTGGCGGACTTCATTCCTTCTTGGCAAAGTCGGCGTAGTTACCCTCGTGTTTTTCCACTGCAATTTCGTGTTTTGTTTTCTTCAGTACACTCGCGCCTCATTTCCAAGAAAAGACATTGTAGAGCAGTCTACTTTCTATCACAAGACAACAAATTTATGTTTTCAGTGAGATTAGACAATCGCTTATGGGTTGAAAGCGGTATATGTTGAAGCCACGTAGCGCCATTCCAGTTGTCGTGCACGTAGCTCGTAGAAAACTGCATTTCGTTAGGATATGGCTCCATTCTCACAGAATTGAGTAAAACAGTGCACATACTTCGACCTTTTGTCAAATCTTCAACGGAATGATTCTAATTATTAATAATTCAAATTATTACCAAAATACTAGTAATATGTTCAAATTATTGTCATTATCATCCGTTTCAATTTGAAAAATAAATGACAGACAAACAATACAACACCAAGTCTGCATTTCTAATAATGTCAAACAGAAAAGAATAATTTAGGGACGGCTCAACGAGCAGATTTGGCTTGGTGCATGCAGTAAAACCCAGCCCATAGGTTTTCACTACCAAGTACGACCATGTTCAGTGACCAACGAAATGCGAGGCCTTCTATGTTAAAAGGGAAGGCCGAAGTTTTCCTGGATTCTGGAGCGCAATAGAATTCATTAAGAAGTATGTGGAATGTTTGTCCCTGGGTATGACACGTGCACCTATACGGCGATAGACGTGAGGTAAGTGGATGTTTATTACGACATACGGCTTGACATCAAACTTTCCCGGGAACACCTCCGCGCACAGAGCAAGATATAAAAACTACGAACATGGTCAATATGGGTACTGACATAAGGAGCCCAAACCGACGTCAAAATCAACGGCTTGAAGAAATCCATAAAAAGGACAATGCTGTTACTAACAATATGAGACATGTTGGTTTTATTTTGTACTTTATTTGGATATTTCGGAGTTGCAGGACAGACCGCTCAGTGCTTATTACGAGGTATGTGTGGCACGAAGTGACTATAGGTGTTCACTACGGTGCATTATATTCATTATCAAAATCTGCAAAAAGGGATTCAAAATATAAATACATGTACGTACAAAGTGCGTACAAAGCTTCTAGCTGAGCTCTAGTGTCTACCACAATTTGGACATGTTCACGGGAAAAATGGAAGAAACACATAGGCTGCTATTCAGTTGGTATAGAGGAATCTATTGATAATGCATATGGGAGAGAACACACGAATGTCGATACCTCATAGAAAAATAAATAACTGAAAAAGTATGAAAAACAGTCCAGGGTTCGACTCCCATTCAGAACACACATTAAGAACATACACTTGTCTGTATACGTATGGCAAAAATATGTCAAAATATTTACAATACATTTCAACACGAATACATTAGAAAATATGTTTTATTTTGATAATTAATAAGAATCAATAATAAGTATCCATTTTTAATAGTTGACGCATTTCTTGTCAATGCTACTACATTTTAAGATGTAACATATTGGAAATGTGATACTTTCCCAGGCAAAAATATAGAAAACGGTAGCCTATTGCTATTCAACTGTACAATAATGTTTTATTCATTTGGCATGTACATATTTTCATATTACACAAAAACTAACTCGTGCAATTTGTGTTTCTCTCCAGTCACATACACGAGATATTAACTTACAACCGGCTGCACATCACTTTTGGCCTCTCAGACCACATTGCTAAAAAAGATTAAATGAAATTTAAATAATGTCAATGGTGACACAGTATGTTTTGACACTTTTAAACCTTTCTTGAACTGTGTATATTTAAGGTTTTTACTCCACAAGACTCCTAAAATCAGAAATGCTGAAATCCAAGCTGGATATACACTGAGTACATGGCTGTAACTGGAGGGGGGTGCCCCCATTGGAAATCTGTGAATAATTGCAATACACCCATACAGCCAATTTTCTTGTGGTGCCTTCCTTGGAAAAAAAAAGTGTGCCCTGGGTGCCCCCCCCAAAAGATTTTAGCCCTAGTTACGCCACTGACTGAGTATGCTAAAACTCAGACAATGAGAGAAGTATGGTCAAATCACACCGTTTCTCCCAAGATAGGGAATTACTCGGAACATATCCATATTGAAACATTCCTACGGCATTTCTGTACAGTGCAGCTAATTTAATTAGAGGGAAATAAGACATGCTTCTTGCTACAAGGTGTATATGAAGACATTTTCTTGTAAAACAACAATGCTTAGGCTGACCTAGAAGCTGAATTTAAACAAGAATTTTCTGGTTTTGATATGTTTGAATCAAACATGAATGGGTTGGTTAAACAATGCTAAACAATGATCTTAACTGACTCCTCAAAGACTTTGCCACACCTTCCAATTGGAGGCACCATCTTCACAAATGACATTCAAACTTGAATGAGAATTAAAACTATCCCACATGAAGATTAAGAAATTGTGTGTCAAATGACTAACAGAACTGACAAAAATACTGACTCAGATACGTGCACTATACCCTGAATAAGTTAAATTATTTTGGCAACTAAGGGACAATTTTACCAGAAGTAAAGTTAGAAAAGGGGAACTTTCTGGCCAATCATGTCTTATTTGGTTGCAGACTGAACATTATAACACAAGACGCATAAATTTCGCTTTTATGTTATTTGGGAATTATTTGTCCAAGTGGTTACAGAGCAATGCTTTCCGCTTTGTGGCTAAATGACATCAGTCAAATTGTGATGGTTCGGACAGGTTTATGCACAGAATGGATATCAATGATTTGTGAAGGTCTCAACATACGTGAAAACATAATGACCATCTAGACAGCCAAACCTATCAGTGATGGGCAAAGTCAAGTCATGTTCACAATCCTGGGTGGGTGTTCTTGAAAACAGCAACTATAAAGGATTGAAATCTACCTCAACTAATTCAAAATACAAAAATCATTACATCAAACATGAAACAGAACTATATAAAATTACAAGAACACATTTAGGGTATCTAAAAATGAAACAGGAAAAATGGAAACCTAATATTCAACTTCAACAAGTAAACAAACGTCAAGTAAAGCAAGCTGTTCAGAAATGTTTTTTGTAATGCTGAATTCATTGCCATTTAGATTATTCTCATAATGTTGTAATTTATGGGGTCAAACCACATGCATGTAATCTGTCCCCCGTCCTCAAGGCTGAAGTCCTTCAGTTGGGGTAGTTACACTACATGAAAGATCAAAGTGTTACCGTTTTATCAAAACTATCCTCACTAATTTGTGATGGTGAAAGTATTAGCCAAATATAGTCTCAATTTTTTTTAGCAGTTTCACAGAGAACTACAAAGTCAATGAACATCCTTTTTTGCTGCAGTAACTTTGTACCCAGCTGAATAAACATGTCTCAACTATCAAAATAATAATAACTGTATCAAGTTACTGAGATAATGTCGCAAACAAGCTTCCACACAAACAATGGCTCCAAGGAGTATCCTTCAGATAGAGGATACTTGCCTGGTTACTCCAATGGAATTTCCATTCCTAATCAACAGATACTTTATTATCAAACTGATCTTCTGCATGACATTTCTACATGTAGAAACAAGTTACTCATTTCCTTTGAAGGTGACATCATACTGATTCAAATTCTGTGTAAGTTTCTCAAAATAACTCCACCATGATGCACTTTTTAATTCAAGGACTTTTAGACAGACAGGTACTTTCATTCTGGAAATAACTTACCAATTAAGTGCTTATTCTGAAAGATGTCACATTTTATCTATAAATACTAATGCACCACACTATAGTTTTCAAATTTGATTCCATTATACGTGGATTATCAGCTGACAAATTGCAGGTTGAAAAAGATTACATAAAACATAGTTTGACATGTCTATCGTGACAGCCATAGCTCTATGGTGACAGCCACAGCTCTGTGGTGATAACCACAGCTCTATGGTGACTGCCATAGCTCTATGGTGACAGCCATAGCTCTATGGTGACAACTAGAGCTCTATGGTGACTGCCATAGCTCTATGGTGAAAGCCATAGCTCTATGGTGACAGCCATAGCTCTATGGTGATAACTATAGCTCTAAGGCGACAGCCTTAGCTTAACTGGGTATTAATCATAAGTTACCTTGATGGCGGTTTGGGTCACGCCTAAGCCAACTCAATGAAATCACTGAGTGTAAAACATACCATTGTGTCATAAGTGGGCACAGCCTTGTTTATTACACACATGCTTTTGGATGCAACAAAATATACAATTTTAAAGTGACAATTACGTCTTAGTTTGACTCCTAGGCAATATGACAGCAACACAGTCCAAATATTTACTTCAGCACATCCGTTTCATAGACCCATACTCTTGGGAGGAGTAATGATTCATTGTTTCCCTACAGCGCAGGAAGTAAAACCATTCAGATTGAAGATGATGAATGTTCAAGAAGATTGGTGTGATGGAGATTAAAACCGATATACCACTGCCAATACATGGTGTCTCTTGCAAAGGTTGATACGGGCAAGGATAGAATGCCACAATTAGGTCTGGTCATTTTTTTAAACACTTTGTTTCACGCATCCAACTGCTCAGATGAATCTATGTGTACACAGGTTTAGCCAGTCAACACAAGCGTCAGGCTTGGAGCAATCCCAAAATGGTAATTGAAGGCACCTGCAAGCCAGTCCTATTATTTTTCTTCCTTAACTTGACCATTCAACAGCTATTGCATTTTGGTTACATTCACAGTAGGGTACCCTAAGAAGTCAACGTATGCCCTTATTGACTTTAATGATCAAGATAATAAAAAGTAATGTCTAGACAAAAGTTGTCAGCATACACCATCAAGTCTCACCTGATATTCCAACAACTTATCAGTCTTGATGAAATAATGGAACCTGAATTTACAAAAGATACTTCAAAACTATTGTAACAACAGAACACACTACATGCATGATTTGGGGCAAGTCGTCAAAATGGTTCAAAATGTGGGTTGTTTATTCCATGTTTTGTGAAAATTTTGAAATTATTAAATGAACAAACCTATGACGATGTTATGAGAGTACGCTAGGTTGCATTTCAATTAAAAAGAACGCTGATTTGATGACAATAAAATATAGGAAGCCAACACTAGCACTTAAGGGGTTGATTGATTTCCAACGGGCAGGCCTGCATCACCCCTTCAACTAGAACTCAGACATAATGTGCTGCACCTCAGACCATTAAATGAATTCACAAGCACAATGACTTAAACTTGACATTTCCTGTTTACAATGAAGCGAATAGTATCAATTGACCATTCTGTCTTGTATTAACAAACTTGAAGAATTAAGGGCAATTTAGTCAGCATTACATTAATATACTGAAATTCCTCCTTTTACCAAATGAACGATTCTGTTTTTTTTAAAGTGCAACCTGCACAAAGTTGAAAAGCCCCCTCACCGACAGAGAAAAGACATGCTGGTGGAAGTTGAGCTAGTGCCGGTATGCGACACACATGCGAAGGCCATACATTCAAACATAAATTGGTTGCCATACCCAGTTGCCACTCAAGGACCATTGTTTCCAATGTAACATCACACCCTCTCTTGTTCCCACTTGGAGCTGATACTATGCCAATGTAATAACTGTAACCCCTCTGAAAAACTAATCATGCTTCATTGAGCTATAACATGTACTCCAATCTAAGCAACCAAATCTTTTGACTGGGGACACTTGTAGCTAACGTTGGGTCTTTCAATCCCAAGCTTTATCTCCATTACATTAGTGCAAATGAGTCAGGAAACAAGACTCAAGAAGGCACAGTCCCACACCAAATGGTCTGAGAGTCTTAATGCAAGTCTGCCTGCTGGAAATGCAGTTGACTTTTTCATGGGTTCAAATGGTTTAGTTCTTGGAACTGTATTACATAGGTAAGACTAAAGAAAACAACATGGACACCGTG